AATAAAAACAGCCAAGATGTCAACAAAGCTAAAGCAAAGCTGTAAATAAACCTGTGCTGAAATTGTTTTTAAATACCTGATTTAGTTTTGCAGAAGACCACTCGAGACTAAAATCTTATTGTGAACTCCTGCACAGAGAATTGCTGTACAAATAGAACGCAAAGACATTCCTAGGAGAAGCTTTCATACTAAATTGTAACTAACTAATTAATTATTCATCACCACAGCAATTATACATACTGGAATGCATTTCACCTAGATGAGAAGGAAAAAAAATATGGAAGATTTCCATGTCTGACCAGATTCAAATAATATTTTTCACTCGGGAAGACCAGATTTGTCAAGAGCATGTATGCCCAGAACATTTTTTCAAAACATGTTTTACATCCTGTCTTAATTGACATGCAAAGAAGCCCTTTGGATTAACTAAAAAAAGCTTTTCTGGGTAGGGGTGAATTACATACACATTGAACCATACACAGCTGTATTCATATTTTATCTTTGTCCCACTTAGAAGAGTTCTGTAAGACAGGGCCACACAGATCCTCTGGAGCTGGACAGAGCTTTACAGGTTGGACCTCCTGTAACTAGCTGGGACCATGAGTGGGGTCATCCTTACCGCTACCAAGGCATGGAAGAGTCAAATACTGACTAAGACTTACCATCATTGGTTATTACTTATTCTTCTTGTTTTCAAGTTATCTGTCAAATTTGAATTTCACTGATCTTTAATGCTCAGTGAACCTGTATCTAAATTCAGCTGTTTGGCTTCTTTCCAGTGTACTTCTATTTGAATATTTGACATGATTACAGAGAACTCAGGAGGAGCCTTAACTAACTGGAAGAAGACACTGAGGTAGAGGCTGCCTCTCACAGTAGAGGGATGAGTACCTAACAACTTCATAGGATTACTTTGCAGTTCATGTCAGTAATTAATTTTTTTTTTGTAGCTTAATTGCAATGGAAAAATTAATTCCATACTTCAGAAACTTTTAAAAGGGATGTGAAGGTGTCACACTGTAGAGCCATCTAGTCACGAATGGGGTCTCCACAATAAGAAACCATGTCACAGAATCACCGAACAGTTGGGGCTGGAAGGCATCTCTGGAGATCATCCGGCCCAACCCCCCTGCTCAGAGCACGGTCAGCTAGAGCACGTTGCTCAGAGCCGTACCCAGTTGGGTTCATCTCCAAGGACGGAGACTCCACAACCTCTCCGGGCAACCCATTCCCATGTTTGGCCACCCTCACAGGGAAGAAGCGTTAATCAGTGGTGTCCCACACCACTGATTCACTACTGGGCCACTACTGCTTTGCTAGGTTCAAGAATTAAATGTTTGGAAGAATATATAAAAATAAGGATTTTCCCAGCAACAGAAAGAGCTAGTAAGCAGAAGAAACGTCAGCAGATATAGCAGAAAGACGTAAGGGACAGCTGCTTACTAACACTGTGTAACTATTCAGGTATATTTTAAAGACGAGGCACTTTAGGTACTGGAAATAGTCTTGTTCCAGTAGAAAAAAGGAAATCATCTAATGGTGAGCCTTGTGTTCTCACAGTTAGACTGCTTGAGGTACTTAAGCTAGCTCCATTAGAGATAGGGATCTTGTGTCAAACAATGAAGACACTATATGAAGACACTACAAATAGGTTTGCAGTATGACTCAGATAATTTGTGCTGGAATATCAGTATTTTAGATTAATACTATTGATTAGGGTAGAGATAGCTCAATTATTTCATGAATAACAAGAATAAATACAGCAAACTGCAAGACCCAGGGAGTCAAGACGACCTTACCCATTTTATGGTTAGTGTTTCACCAGAGATCTGTGCTAGTGAGCGATATACCACTATGCACTGCACAGTAGGCATAAAGTTTTAAACCCTGATTTTTAGCATATTTTTAAAACAGAAGTCACAAAAAATACATCGGAATTATTTTTGAGAGCTAAACATCAGGATTTTCTAGACTTCAAGAACAGAAAAATGGAAAGGCTACCAGGGATTCTAAACAGATTCAGAAAATCAACACTGAGTATGAGCATGAAAAAAAAATCCCAAGGAAGATGCATTTCGGGCTGCTTTAGCAATCCGAAAATAAATCCAGTGAGGCCAAAAGTGCTTTGCAAAAATAAAGCTAACAAAGAAAGGTGGCAGCTTCTCAAAGACAACTGCCATACAGGATGGTCACCCCTCTCCCCCAGAATCTTTTTCCAGAGGATTTATTTTCCACACCTAAGACAGGCAGAAGCCCATGACAGACTTTTACTGACATTGGTGCTACTTTCCAAAACACCTGCTGCTCTGTGGGACCAGAGTTACATCAGAATTGAGTACTTCAAGAGTACTACTCAGAGAAAATAGTTCTCTTAGTGACTGCAGACATAGTTACTGTTTAACCAAACAAAAATTCTGCAAATCTAACAGTTTGTTAGAAAGAACAGAGCAAGAAGTTACAACCTCACAAGAAACAGAGCAGCGCTCAGCATGCACCTAGACCTTACTGAGTTTCTTTTCCACTTGAGAATCTACTGTAAGAAGAATTCCAGGCAGTATTGCAGAGAGATATATATGTCAACTGAAAGAGAACATGCTTCTGTTTTTCTACATCTGTGTATACTGTGTATGAAATAAGACACCGAATGAAAGAAGCCAGATTCCTTCCTTTCTTCTTCCAGAGCACATTCCTAAGAATTATTAGACTGTACTGTGCTTAGAGTATTAGACTGGTTAGTATTAGAGTGTGGTCTGCTGACCAAAAAGGGGGGAGATGGCAGGCAGGGGAGAGGACACAGATTTGCTAATCAGAGCTGTTTGTCATTTTTAGCTGCAAAAGCTTGAAGTGGGTGATGGTAAAGTGGAGATAGTAACAGACAGAGGGGATTTTCTGTACTACTTTAATTTTCTACCAGAATAAAAGTAAAAATGAATATTCAATGTAATATTTTCATAAGACTAAGTCTTAATCAAGGGTAATGAAACACCTTTTATTCAGTTAAAAAAACCAAACACACACTGCAATCATAAGGCCAACCCAGATCCAAGACTTCATTTTAAAAAGTCAAAATAATTAAAGAACCAATAGAAAAAAAGTCTTATCTATGTACCAATATACCTACGAATTCACATACATTGTATTTTCATTTTTCTCACTTTAGGATGTGGAAAAATTCCAGTAATCTATACCATATAAATACAAAATACTTTAAATTCTTTATTTGTAAATGGTTGAAACTGCTGTGTGAAGCCAAGTTCTACGTTATATGATCAATCTGGCATAAGTCTTTTTTTCATAATAGAAAAATCAACAAGGAACTTGAAGGGAAAAATAGTTCATTAGGATAGATTAGTAGACACTGAGTGATGATTAGACTCATCAAATATATATATATATACACACACATATCTGACAATTATAAGTCTTGTACTACTGATGTGGAAAAAATATTATCAGTCATCATGAAATCAGTTTAAAATCCAGAAGTGAAAAGACTTCAGCACAGAAAACATGTATTGATCTGTTTGTTGAAGTTTAACTTTTTCCATTAATTTGGAAATTCGCTTGTACGGAGCAGCAAATAAAGAGTATGATCAAACACTTCAAAATAAGGGTGTTATACAACTTTGTTACCTCCAGTTCAGACACTATGTTTCAAAAGGTATTTTTTTTAATTACTCATTTAAACAAGATCCACCTGTGACAAATACTAAGCGACTGCTTTGCAGTGGTTAACAAATAATGCATTTTTGAGAAATTTTAAGTTCATTGATTTGTCCAACTCAATGTGTAATATCATAAACCGCAACTAGTAAATAAAAACTTTACAAATATTAATTGACGTTAAAAATGCCCTCTTCCTTCTCCCTAGCCCTCTCACACACACATTATTTCTGAGAATCATTTCAGAAGGTAAAGCCTACTGCTCTGCTGATGAATTTTACAATTCTAACAACTTTTTAAATAAATATCCAATTAAATTATGTCTATTTTTTTGACATATAAGATCCCAAATGATATAGCTTTAAAAAAATGAAAATTACCTAGATATCATTTCTCCAGTCAAGATTTCAACAGATACTAAAACAATGAATCAGGTCAGAGGTATCACAAAGATCATATATTTAGTTTTTTTCCTCAGAAGACAACTACTGATACCCCACAGTAAAATTAGCTATGCTTAGCACAAATACAACAGAAGTCATTAGAAAGCAGAGTATTCTTACATTTGAGCGCAAACATCATCCCAGCTGCAGCTCTTCAAACACAAGCATATTTTGAGGAAGGGAATATTATTTGCCTAATACAGGAGTGATAAATACTATAGACAGCTCTAGAGCTATATAAATAAGTGAAGACTAGCCAGTTTCTTGACAATCCACTTCAAGTTCTGACTGTCTTCCGCCATTACTCTCATTTTGATGACTTCAGTACTCTAGTCAATTCATATAATGCATTCCATTCTTCACTTCTTTTCCATGTCTTAAATATGCAGCACTAATCTTCCAGATTCAGCATGAGAAAGAGATTCGTGAAACCTAAGAAAAGGCTTAAATCACCTCATTTTAAACCTTTAGTACAGGCCTAAATAGACTCCTGCTGACTTGTCAGCCCTAACTAATTAAAATGTTAAAGTCAGGCTTCCAACTTTCCTAAGTTTAGGACATTTAATCTCTCCAAGTTATTTGCTTCTGTTACTACTGGTATTTTTTGACTTTCTGACCCAACGCTAATTATAGAAGTGTAATTCTTAATGTCCGTTCCTACTTCAAAAATAGTAATAATTAATCTAATAAGAGCGAAAATATATCAGAGATAGTCTGCATAAATTGTCACTCACCAGCAGACATGCAAAAGTTTCACACTTTGCAAAACAGAATGGGGTGAAAATACACTGTTTCACAAAAACATCTCTAATGCGAGATACCATTTTCCAAGGAGCACAATAGTCTTGTTGAAAAGATTTGGAATTATAGTTAAAGAAAGCATAAAATGCTTGCCTTGCTCTGGTCATATCATAATCCTTTTGGGAGAGTTCTTCCTGCTTCACAGCTAGCTGAGATGACAAGTTACGGCATTTACTGTGCAACTCTTTCATTTGTTCTCTCGCTTCTGTTAAATCAGTTTCCAAATTCTGCAAAAGAAGCATTTGAAATATATTGAACACAGTGTAAAAGAAAGACTTAAATACTACATGGACCACGTACGTAGACATGTGCTTGCATACACACCCATATCTCTATTGCTAAGTAAATACATATATGTATTTGTGTCTGTTTGCATACGTGTGTGTGCATGCGCATATGAAAAATACTAAATCTCAGACAAATGCTATGTTCAATTTTGGGCAGCTATCTATTTCTTACTGTAAAAATTGTTCTGTAATTCATTTGTTTGTTGCACGTAGAAGAATTCTGAATCAAATCTTCGCAGAGCAATCGTAAGCGACACGACTGTTGATTAAATCTTTTCCTTGTAGAATTCAAACAGAAGAAACCTAGTCCGTACAAGAAACAACTACACCGTTGTTGTTTTTAAATTCTCCGAAAATTGCACAGATTTCATACATGAAATCAGAATAAAGACTCATTTTTGAGACTGTTTGTTGAAATATGGTATTATAGAAAGCATATGTTTCTGCACTTCTAATTTAGGAAAAGAAATGGCATGCAAGAAAAAAACTTCTGGAAATGATCATTGAAAATAATGTAAACAAGCCATACTTTGCCTTTTACAGTAAGCCTTACTGTAAAAGTTAGTCAGCAGAGTGTGAAAGTATATATGAGAAATATAGCAACAAGCCAGCTTACCCAAGCAAGGCTTAGATGTTTCTCTATCAGAGCCTTATCAGAGTTCTTTGGGGGTTTAGCGGCTTAGAGCAACAGTACTTTAGGCCTTAAGCAGCTTTGCACTACTATTCTCCCAGAATATTTTGAGGAAAGAACGGAAATAGAATAAATACAGTAATATCTAGAGCAGAGTTTCCGAATCTGGTAACACCTTTCCTTAGACCTACTTTGGTATCACTATTGAAAGGCAAAAATCACTTACTTGCTCTGAGGCAAACACTCCAGGGTACATTAACCATTTGAACTAAATACATCCTGGTAGGATAGTGTCTCATTTATTGCCAAGAGTACATTAGTTTCTCTTCCATTTGAACAGAGACTTGGTTAAACATGCAACAATAAGTAACAAAATAGTGTATTTTTCTCTTTCAGCATAGATGTCTCAAATATTGAGGGTACTGAAATATTTTTTTTTAGAGTTGAAAGGCAAATTATGAATTGTTTTTAAAATAATATAAAACTGTGTTATACACATTTGGACACATAAGAAGTATACTACAATCAAAACTGTTTTAATTTTGACAAGAATCGTCACTTCCTGTTAATAAAAGGAATGTAAATTTTGGGAAACAGCAGAATTTTTAAGTGAACAAAGTAGAACTACTTGTTTCCTGATAAATCTCAGTTTATATACTCACTATATAAATACTCACTATATAAATACTCACTATATAAATACTCACTATATAAATACTCACTATATAAATACTCAGTCAGTGTATCTGACTGATGAGCCATCATTTGATCTTGCAGGCTGGCTAACAAAAATTATTTTTTCTCAGATAACAAAAAATTTCAGAATGACAGGAGACAGTTAATTCTGTCAATAAAAAAAATGCTGAGGTGCCATAAAGTGTTTATCTTTATAATCTGCAGCTAAGCGTTCCTGAGGTTTTTTTCAGTATTGTTTTCCCCAATAACTAGAAGTTGTTGTAATATGTGAGATGATTTCCCATTTACAATTTTTAAGTTAACAAAAATAATAACAGTTTGCATTTTCCCTGAATAAATTCTATTCGCATTTCTTTCATATCATGCTAAAAAGTTGTGGAAGTTCTTCATGGTATGGATTGTACCAACAATGATCTTGCCAATGCTGAAGTTCCCAACATCCATTGCAGAGTAAAGTACAAAGAATAGAAGACAAATGGTTTTGTCATTAAGTACAGTTGCATACAAAGCCATATGATGGCAAAAGTTAAAAACAAAAAATTGTCATCCAGTGGGTCACCCTAAATCTGAATTTCATAACTTCAGATTTTAATTTCAGCTAACAAAATTAATTTAATTTGACAAAGGTGGGCTCTTCTGGAAATCAGAAACATTACTGAAAAGGTTGAAACATGGAAAAAAAAAATGCAGGGACCGAACTGTTTTACAAATAACTTGTACACTGAAATATCACACACTGAGATATTCAATAGAATTTATGCATCATTCAGGAATCTAAGATTACAAAATCTAATCTTTTACCCTCAAATTCTTATTAACTCCTTTTAAAATCATTTGGAATTTATCTTACTTTTTACAACTAATACAGCAGCAGAGAAAGTTTCCTCATGTAAACAACCAGACTGTAGAAATTTGCTATATATAAATTCTCCTTAAAATTATTTTCAAATTAAAGTTAATTTCAATTTTACCTACAGACACTTTAGAATCTTAGAATTTAGATCTTTTAAAGCATCCTGAAATATATTAAAACAAAGTAAATACTATTCAGAATATAGTAAGTTGAAACTTCTAAAATTCTGATTATATATTTGGGGGGAAGAGGAATGCATGTTGAGAGAAAAAGAAAAGATACATTAAATTGTGTTTCTTTAAAACAGTACCGAAAATGAAGCGTGAAAAGTAAGTCTACTGTTAACATACTTGCTCCTTATTATTTCCATCAGTGTAAAGTAGTCACCCTAATTAAAATGAAATTAAGACTAATAACAGAATAATAATTGAGGGTAAAACACTGCAGGTATATTTTAATCACTTCAAGCCCTAAAACTGCAAATACAGGAAATTCAGAAGTCATGTGAATTTAAAAGAACTCCAAACCAAACATGACAAGTTTAACATACAGACAAGGCATGAGGTAGCATAACAGTGTGTAGCATTATTATGAAGTCAATGTAAATTAAGTTTTTTTTGTATTGGTAGCTTCAAAACTGTTAGAAAGTCACTTTTAAATACCGTAGCTTGATTTCCATGTTTTCTTTGTTATATATCATTACTGAGTTAAGAGTATTTTTTCAAGTTCTTGCCTCCCAGTAAATCTCTCATTTTTTCTGTGCAACTGAAATTCCAGGCTCCTCTTGACAGAGAGGGTTGTTTCTCACACTGTTACATTTTAAAAGAGAATAACCTTTCATATTTCTTCAGAAATTCTATCTTCAGACATCAGGTACTTTTAAGAAGTACTTTGCCAACAAGAAAACAGTAAGTAGTTACACTGTCTTTTAGATCACCTCTACTTAAAATATGCCAGTCTGCCAGGTTTTGTATCTGCATATAAAGCCTTTTCTGACTAAGTTTGGGAAAATATACTACATCTTTTGTAAAAGATGTAGTAAAAAAAAAAATTAAATACACACCTTAAGTTAAAGTCCCCTCTTCCACCCACGGAAGTGCCAAATAACTTAAATCCCTAATTCACTCCTAACTATGGAAACACATCCCTGCATACGGTGGCAGATTATCAGCTCTTCCACTTGCAGACTTTCAGGAGATGGAGAAAGCTGATAGAAGCCCTGGGAAGCACAAGGTAAGACCTACTTGAACACTGAAAGTAGAGGCTATGAAAGCCTAGTGCTAGGTATTTTTATGTACCGTATACTATTTATATGAAGGCAAACCATAAAAATATAATAGCTACTTTTTTAGCCACATTATCAACTCTCTTCCTGTTAACCCACCTCATTAGGATTTACACTGATAAAACAGATCATCCTTAATACTTTCCAAATATTCCTCAAACAGAAAACCTAGCCATAATAGTGGTTCTTTCTCCATTTAAGCAAGCTGGATTTTATATACCAGTTCAGACTGTAGCAGGCCTGGAAACAACTGCACAAGTGACTTCTGCACAGAAAAATATTTTAAATTCTGATAAAATCAGCTAGTAGCAGTTAGTTTATTCTCTGAACAGAGGGCCACTCATCCAAAAGGAAGCAGTGACTCACAGCCCTTGAAAATCTGTGATGTTTAGACTTAATGTTTTTATCATCTAAAATACGTTTTAAAAATAATGTTGATATAGTTTACATTGATACAATTTGATATTTATTTTTACAGAGATATAGAAGACTAATTTGAATAGTTTCTGTATTCAACATCATCTACAAAATTGTTAAATAGCTTTTGTTATTCAAAATAATGTATAAAAGAGATCCTAATGATTCCCAAACTCTAGATCGCGAGGCAGAACTGGCTTTCAGAAGCGGACAGCATTTCTAAACCGTTACAGAACGCTTTTATAGAATGCTATTGCCGTTTTAACAATCACTTAAGACCACCACCACAAAACAACAATTCTGCTATTAAATTTACTCATAAATTGCTATTAACAAGTATTTAAAGGATATGTTATATTGGTCCATAACAGATAATCTGCCACCCAGTATACTGCACTGTGATAACCTCATATTTGACCTCTGAGGATAAGGCTACTACTTTCTATGTTGTTTATAAGTATCCTTTTAAAAGCCATCTGGCATCCAATATTGATTCTGGAGAATGTCTAGTCATAGAAAGGGGGAAAGCCAGGAACAGACGGAGTAATTCAAAAGTTTAAGTGAATATTTACAAGTGGCGTTTATGTAAAAATAACTATGAACTACAAAAGTAAACAAATTTCTGTATTTTTTCATGAATGCTTATTTTATCAAATATTGATCAAAAGTAATGAAAAAACTCTATTCCTGGTTCCTAGAGGTCACATATAACATTTAAGTCACGCAAATAATATTTATAATATGCTTTCCAATCTTAAAATAAGTCTTGTGAGATAAGACACTTTGCCTAATACTGTACACCAACAAAGGCGTGAAGTCACTTGTCTAACAGAAAGGAAACCTCCCCCCCCCACACCCAC